ATTTTTCTTAGATGCCAGGAATAAAATTGGGAACAAAAGTGACAAAAATTCTTGCTTTTGTGAAGTTTCTGTATGGAGTTTAAAAGAATAAAGAGAAAAAAAAAAGAACAAAGAGAAAAAGGTCATAAACATAATAATCCCGTATCTGTATAGTAATTAAACCCAAACCAAACCTACCACTATTAGATTAAATCTTTATGGACGAAAACTGCCACATCATTCTCACAGAGCTGCTAGGAGGATTTGAACCACAGATCTTTTAGTTAATAACTGAATGCTTAACCAATATGCCGCTAGGACTCCTTGCACAGTATTTCTTTTTGTTATGTGCCATTGACTCACCTGTGACTCTTAACAACTATATGTACAATAGCCCTAAACCCTGCTCTATGCCATGTCAATCTTATTGTCTCCAACATGCCTATCCCCATTACCCTAGTCACTGAGTCAATCCACCTCATCAAGGGTCTTCCTCTCCTGTGCTGTTTCCTTCCCCCCCCCAAGCATGATTTCCATCTCCAGGGACTGATCCCGCCTTGCAACATGCCCAAAGTATGTCAGACGAAGCTTCAGAATCCTTGCATCCAAAGAGAAGCCTGGCTTCACCTTCTCAAGGACGAACTTATTTTCTAAGCAGCCCATGGTATATTCAACACTCTTCTCCAGCACCACAGCTCAAATGCATCAACTCTCCTTCTGTCATCCCTAGTCTTGTCCAGCTTTCTGATGCATAGCACATAATTAGAAAGACCATGGCCTGTATCAGGCACACCTTAGTCTCCAGACTGCCACAGCTGCTCTTCAGTACTTTGGAGAGAGGTCTCTGACAGCACTTTCCTAATCCAATTCATCTTTTAATTTCCTAGCTGCTGGTACCAAGAGGATTGACTATAGAGCCAAGCAAACTGAAGCTGTTGACAATCTCAATCTCTTCACTATCCATCATGATGCTAATTGGCCCAGTGGTGAGAATCTTCGTTTTCTTGATGTTGAACTTCAACCCGTATTGAAGGCTGCAGTCCTTGACCTTGACCTCAAAGGGGAAAAAATTGGAGCAGGAAGAGGGTCCCATTTTAAACAGCATTGGCTCGGCACACCTCACAGAGGTGACATTTTAGCAAAGACTTGAAGTAGGCAAGAGAGCAACAGACATATGTATGGGGAAAGAACAACCAGGAAGTTCTTTTTTAATTTTTTTTTTAAATTTCATTTTATTTTTATTTTTTGTGCAAGTAATGTCAAATCAGATCTGACTGGTACAGGAGGAAATTGTCCCTCCTTCTCCGGAAGAGCATCTGGTGGATTTGAACCGTGTACCTCTGGGATTGCAGTACAGCTTCTTGCCACTAGGCCACCAGAGCTCCCCTAAGAACATTTTTAAAAATAGTACAAAAAATAGATTACAACCAATTACTTACTGGTTAAATATATACAGAGACTTAAAGGTATAAGAAGAGTTACAAAGTATTAATTTAAGAAAAACACATCAATATGGAGGGGGAAAGTCAGGATTCACTTTCATCAGTGTCCTTATCTAGGTCTTGCTCAACAGCTTCCTTTTCCTGTTGTTGTTTCTTCCAAAGTTTGGCCATAGCCAGGAGCTTAAGATTGGGTTGGTTAGCAGCATCTTCTGGAAAGATGTAATCATAGTATTCCTCCCAGCCTGCATCGGACCCATCGTCAGCCTGGACCTTTCTCCTCTTCTTGGCTCTTTCTGGCATGAGCTTGTCCACTCTCTCCTTATCATCTAGGCTTCCAAATTCATCTTCAAAGCTTCGCCAAGATTCTAGCAACATTAGTCTCTCCTCCTTTTCTTCACAGTTTCGCATGGTTTTGTTAGCTTCTTCATAAATTTGTCTGCATTTAGCCAAACTTCCTTCTTTGCCTGAAGACAGTTCAAACTGAGCAAAGCTGATCCATACCTTGACATGTTGTGTCCGCTGAAGCAAACGCCGATAAAGATTGCGTGTTCTTTCTGTTTCTTCCTGCTCAATTTCAAAATCTATGTATGACTTCCAAAGCACCTCAGGCATGTCCAGGCGAGGCTGACTGATGGCCAGCTCGTAGATGGCTCGGGCTCGTTCAATATCCCCAAGGATGGTCTCTAATTCTGCAAATTTAATCCAAGAGGTACAATTTTCAGGTCCAAACTCCAGGAACTTTTCATAAAGTTTTCGGCATCTGTCAAATTCACGAAGCTGTAACTCCAATTCTATGTAGCCTTTAAATAACTTGTTCTTTGGACATTTGCCTATGGATGTTCCCAAAGCTCTTCGGGCAAATGGTAAATTTTTCTGTCTTATTTCAAATTGTGCATATAGCAACCACATTTTGGCAAATGTGAACTTTTTGTGAGGAATTAGTTCCAAACAAGCTTTATATACTTCTCTTGTCCTCTCAGGATCCTTTGCCTCCAACTCTTCATAGAATGCATAGTTGACCCAAAGATAGACATAGCGCTTCCAGTGCCTCTTCTCCTGGATTGGTGGCACATTGGCAATGGCTCTTTCGTAGACTTCCCGCACAGTTTCTGCTTCTGCATCACTTTCCACCAGGCGTAAGTAATCAAACCATGCATCATAATTGTGTGGATTAGCCTTCACTTCTTCTTCATACTGAAATCTCCGTTTGTTCAAGATGATATCTTCAATGCCCTGTCTATCACCAAACTTCTTCTCAAAGATGGTATAATTTTTAAAGAGTTCTTGGGCCTCTTGTTTCGAAATTCTGTCCAGGGCATACTTGTAGATCACACGCACCCTTTCAAACTCTCTCTGATTTTCTTCAAATTTAGCAAATGCAACATAAAGATGTTCATCCATATGTTCATCTCCAAAGAATTCAACAGCTCTCTCATAAACTTTCCTCGCATGAGCAAAATAACCATGCTTTTCTTCAAAGCGGGCATACTTGATCCAGTTCTTAACATCCAGGTGAACAAGGACAAATCTTTCGTAGATGGTGCGGGCCCGGTCCACCTCTTTGTACCTCAGCTCAAAGTTGATGTAGGAGTGCCAGGCCTGCTCCTCGGGCTGCCACTCCATCCAGCGCTCAAACACCTGCCGGGTGCCAGCAACGTTCCCCAGCATCTCCTCCATGTACGTGTACTTGTACCAAAACTGATTCACTCGAGGGAGAGTTGTTATTGCTCGGTCCCAGATGTTCCGGGCATGGTTAACCTGGCGATTCTTCATTTCCATTTCTGCGTATTTTAGCCATAGTGTAATATTTCGATAGTCCACATCTAAAGCACGCTCGTAGATGGACCGAGCCCTCTGAATTTCTTTTATACTCTCTTCCCATTGTGCATACTTTATCCAGTTACTAATCACAGTCCTGTTTTTCCTTATGTTATCTTCAAAAGTCTTCCTTTTCCTCAGTTTGTAGTCATTTAACTCTTCTTCATCTGTGATCTTCAGCTGAGGTGGAGGTGGCAAAAGCTCAAGCTCTCTTTCTTTTGCTTCTCTCAGGAGTTGCTCAGCAGTTATCTGTACCTCAGCTGGAGCTTTGTTTTTTACCTTGGCCACTTTGGGAATCCGCTGCTTTCCGGCTGCTGTGGAGGCCGCCATGCCTGCAACGGAGGACCTCCGCGGGCCTCAGCAACCCGGAACCCGAACAACACTGTGACTGCGGGCGGCGTCAAACCTTCGGCTAAATAGCCGATAAGGAGGCGGAACCGGAAGTAGGTGGGCTGGCCTCTGATTGCACACGCACCATGGCGGGGGAGGGGGAAAGCAGCGTGGTTGCCTTGGTGACGAGACCCTTAACCAGGAAGTTCTTAACAGCAGTTTCATAAACAGGTCCTTAGGCAGGAGCATGGAGAGCATCCATCAACCACCACAAGGGGAAAGAAGGGAGATGCAGCCCAAAGTAAAACAGTACCTAAATGTAAGAACTTTGATCTCTATGCATGAAACTGGCTATAGCTGCTCAAAGGACTGATAAAACTTGACCTCTGTTAGGCCTTTTTAGTTTGGCCCAGTTTCACAAGGTTCGTGAGCAGTCTGTGCTCTGAAGATTAAATAATCAAGACAACATCACCCTCTCAGGCACATAGCAAGAGTTCATTATTGGGTTACCTGGACCCTTCCACTTAAGCTCTGCACAGAAGTGCTGTTGTTGAAAACCATCATCGACTCATACCTGATCCGTTAGCTGAGTTTTCTGAGGCAGTAAATCGCCTGGGAGGAGATTGCCCAGCTTTCTTCCAAGGAGAAACTGGCGGATTTGAACCACTTACTTTTGCCTTCATTGGTAGCTCAATTCCTTACCACTGGCCTAATATCAGAAGCTGTAATGCAGTATCAAATGCAAATTGTTTGAATCCACAGCTGTTCCGTGGGAGAGAATAAACAATCAATATCCTTCGCTGCTATTTACTGCCTCTAAAACCTGTTGCAGGGTCAGCTATGGGTCGGCTCCGACTGAGCGGCACGCAACAAGAAGCCACCAGACTCCAGCTCTGGAGGCCTAGTGGTAAGAAGCTGTGCTTGCAATCCCGAAGGCGCACGGTTTGAATCCACCAGATGATCCATAGGGCAAGGAGGGGCAATATCCTTATGTGACAGTCGGGTCCGATTCGATGGTACACAATAGGAAAAATAAATGCATAAATTAAAAAAAAAACCACAAAAAAAAAAACGCCACGAGATCTCCGAACTGCTACCATGTATTTCATCAGCTCCGGGTCGCAGCATCCCGTCCGCCAGTCTCCCTGCAGCGCTTGCCCAGTTACCGATTGTGCAACTCCCGCCCCCGGGCGGGGTCTGGGCGTAGGCGTGACGGCGACGTGCTGGGAAAATGCCTGAGCTGCAAACACGACAGGGAAGCCCTGAGCCCGAGGCGGCCACCGTATGCGCTTGCGCACGCCTGGTCCCCCGCTGCCGACATTCCAAGGGTGCCGCTGGCCCCGCCCTCAATTCCGGGGAGGAGTTCGCGAACGCGCCTGCGCAGAGCTTCGCCGCACCCTACGCCTGCGCACTTCGTCAGCCCGGCCCCATCCCCGGGCTTTTTGGGTGGGGGAGGGGGCGCGTCTCGGCGAGTCACGGTGATGGCGGTCACCATCCTGTAGTGAGCTAGCGGATTCCCTACCACGGCTCCGCGCGCTTCTTGCATACCCAGTGCCTGACGCCGGACGGGGTCAGACTCGCGTGGAAGGCCGCAGTCGCGGAGGCAGCGGCGCGGCCCAGGGCCAGGGCCGGCGGAGAGGCCGCTCCGCAGGGCGAATGTGACAAGCCCCCACCCCCACCGCCTTCCTCGAGTCCGAGAGGAGCCCCGGCGACCCCGGGCCCGGCCAGGCCACAGACCCCGCCCAGCGGCCAGCACCCGGAACGAGCCTGGCAGTGGAGCTGAGCGGTGGCACCATGCAGGTCACCCTGAAGACCCTCCAGCAGCAGACCTTCAAGATCGATATCGACCCCGAGGAGACGGTCCGTACGAGTGGAGCGGCACAGGGCTGGGGGCCGGGCGGAAAGCGGCCGCGTGCGGGCCCCGGGGGTGGCGAGGGGTCGGG